GCCTGTTATAAACCAGGCTGTTCACTAAATTGAGAATGGTTTGGAATTCAAGTCAATTTCAAATTTAAGACAAAATTAGCTGAACTGGAAAAATTCTCCAAATCAGCTTCACTTCCACTTTGACTATTTTAGTCTTAAATTTGAAATTCTCTTTGAATTATCTTTGAATGGACAACAATTCTCACTTTAGTAAATAACCCTGCTAATATTAAATGGGAGGTCTGGCACCTATTAAACTAAAGTGGATTAAGCTATATTTTCTTAATGAATTTTCCAAGTTCATAGAAAGTAAGACAAGAGAGGTGAGATCTGCACAGTGCACACAGACATAACTCAGATGCTTTAAAAGTTAATGGGTTAGAAAAAATGCCTTTTTTATGCCTTGGGCACTAAAAATATATATTTTAACAGGAGCATGGACGTTTTACAATCCCAGCAGATGTGGCTGTCTGAGCCTGGTGGGAGTTGCAGTGCACGTTGCTGGCTGGCTGTGTGTATGGGAGTGGGAGAATGCTAGCCCTGATTAGTTTTTGATCTGAGAGCAGATGTTCACAGTCCCATTCACTCCTCCTGACAACCTGATGGCTCAGGGATCACATACAGCCAGGTATGGAAACCAGAAAGTGATACATTGTTACAGGAAAACAAACCATGCATTATATCACAATATTTAGAACTTGAAAAGCTGGTATTTTCACCCACGTGGGTTCTCCAGTCTGCTCTTACCTTGCATTTTGGGGAGTCTCTGATGTCCCTGGAGGGCAGAGCCAGCAGTAAGATCCCTATCACCCCCACCAGGCAGAGGAGACCAGGGAAGACAAGGGCTAGCACTCTCTTAGCCATTGTGGGTCTGAGAACAGCTGGAAGGAGCCTGCAGTTCTTACAGGGAACACAGGGGGGAGGAGATTGGCTCTCAGAGGGAGACTTGCCATTGGCCAGGAAGGTGCAATGAGTTCTAAAGAGGGCTTGGAGCATTGTGTTATAGTGTGTCTTTATACAGTGTGATTCCAGCTGAGGGCAGCCCTGGGCTGATAGTAACATGTTACAGTGTAACTGTCTGTGCAAAGGGTTACTGGGAGAGAGAGACACAGAATTCTTATCTGCAAAACAATTCTATTATCATCTATTTATTTATTTATTTATTAGCTATCTGTCTGTCATTCTGTCTGCCTGTCTATCATTCTGTCTGTCTGTCTATCATTCTGTCTGTCTATTGTTCTGTCTGTCTGTGTTAGCTCTGTTCTATGTCTCTGTATCTAGCTCAGTCTGCCTACTTATTATTGTTAATTCAATTCAATTCAGAATGTTAATGCCTATACCCCAGGTGCCATCACCATGTAAGCCGTTTGGGGCTCCCAGTGGTATTTAGGGACCTGTCAGGTAATGGAAACGAGAGCTCTATGTGACAGATAATGATGACATTATGACACTGGATTTGTGTATTAATGCTAATGATTGTATTACAGGTAGTCTGCTAAAAATAAGTGCAGAGAGTGAGACAGCAGGTTTCGCAAAACCTCCATGCTGGCAAAGCATTATGGGTGTGACGCTCATTATCATATATTATAGGCAATATGGTTTATAATAAAAAAATATATATAATTAAATGAACATTATAGTGTTAGGAATACAAACATGCCTTCCTGACACTATGGAGTTAAATGAACTATTTTGGCATCAGTCTTCTTTTGTATCGCTATGAAAAAGTTATTTTACTCACCTTTTTACCCACGCTGCTATGGTTTTGCTGTGGTTGGTCGCGCTTGGTCCCGCCTCTATGGCTGAGACCATCACAATTGACGATCTCAGCCAATCCAGTTTTTTCCCACAAGAAAGCGTTGGGAGGCTATTAAGCATATCAGCAAAACGCCACTCTGCGCCTATCGGCATCACCTCATAGAGATACATTGAAGCAATGTAAACACGGCTTTTCTCTGAAGAGCCTGCAGGGACAGGCTATAGACTTAAGGCTTAAGAGAAGAGATATACAGCTTTTGCAGCTGTTTTTAGAAAGCCGCTAGAGGGCTTCTGGAATCCAAACTGACTTTTGGTCCATTATCTGACGCTGGACGTCCTCACGGACATCCAGCGTCAGATTTTCCCCATAGGAAAGCATTGAATAATGCGCATTAAGTCTCGCCCACTGGCTGATGTCGGCGGGGGAGGAGCGTGGGCAGAGTCTGACCCAGCGCTGAGGGACATCAGTGCTGTATTCAGGTAAGTGGCTGAAGGGGTTTTAACCCCTTCAAACCCGCGGGAGGGGGGTCGTGAGGGAAGGGGGGACCCGCTAACCCTATAGTGCCAGGCAGTATAGAATTCCTTTATTTCTCTGCAAACCCCCTGTTAACGGATAACCCTTCTAATGTTTTATCTTCATTTAGCCTTTTTACCAGTCTGGTTTTTACAAAGTTTGATTCCAAGGTAGCTTTGTACTGATATCATTATTATTATTTCTTTATTTTTGAGTGCAGAGTAAATTGCAGGCATAAACAAAGACTTGTTCAACATATTAGATTGTCAGAAACAATTGATATGGGTAGTCAAGAGATACCCAGGTTGCGGCTAGGAAGGGGCTTGGGCTGGATGTCACCGGGTCGCGTGGCTGCCATGTTTGATGCCTGAGGGGGTGGGTAGGCCTCTTGCCGTCGCTTTCTTTGGGGCTTTTCTCTTCCACTCCATCTCCCCCAGGGTCATGTCCACTGTGGGGTTGATGTCAGACCTGCCCTGCCTCGCTCACACACGTTGGCTTTCCTGGTGTGTGAGGTTGCGTTATGTACCGCCGCCACTTGCTTAAGCGGTGTGTCCATGCCTCCACCCGTCTGTGGCCGTCCTACAGGGCTTGTGCTTGCTTGCCCGTTTGCCCCTGCTTGTGAGCGCGCTGTGATGACCCCCGCCAGTCCGGGGGGGGTGGGGGTGGAGGAAGGTTCTGCATCTGCAGGACTTTGGGGCCGGAGGACCGGCCGCGTCCCCAGCCCCGCATCAACTGCTAGGCCCCGCATCAACTGCTAGGCGGTAGGTCGGATCTGCCACGGTTGGTGCCTCTGGATTGCTTTTATCTTGTTCCGACCTGGGGCTTCGCTGGGTGGCTAGATGTGGTGCCCGTTTAGTTTGGCTGGATTGCGGCAAGAAAGGCTTATATTTAGCCATTTAGTGGGAGCCCCAGTGTTTGCAGCCTCTCCGCATGGCGGCCAAGCTTCGCCCCCGATATTATTTTTAATACTGCGCAATTTTATCATGTAATTTATAGGAACTCTCCAAGGACCATAACCACTACATCCCGCTTAACAGTTTAACAGCTCACCGGGTTCTGCTACTACGTCCCTGCTGCTGGAAGCTCCTTACAATGTCAATAGAGTGTTTTTTGGGTTTTTTTGCAACAAAAACTGAAAGGGCACCTCCGCACTAGCCTGGTATAAATGCATGGGCTGTAGTGGTTATGGTGCTTGGAGTGTTCCTTTATTGTGCTTGGAGCATCATAGTCTGACGGAGTCGCCCAGGGCACAGATGTACTGTGAAGGTGTGTTTTTATTAAATTCTGCCGCACTCCTCTGCCCTGGAAGAGCGTAGCATTTATTAGAGAGAATGAAGATCTGTCACTTAAAGTGAACACACTGTTCCTGTTTAAAATTGTGTATTTACTGCTCCAACAAAGTAGAATGTGATTGCTATTATTTATTTTCTTAATTATTCCTCAGTAGGATTTATCTAAAATAACTGTGGAAAAATGACAAATAAAACTGAACAAATAAATTGTAAGCGAAAATATATGAACTGGAAACATTCTCTAACTCTGCAATTTTTGGATAAAAATTCCTTGCCGTTCCTTCCAATTCCCAGTTTAGTAAATATTAACTTCATCCATGTCCAGGCTCGTCAACACCATTGAGGTTGAATGTGAGAATTGTATTCGCCGAGTTTCTCAACATTTTACGGAGAAGTACATCTGCATGTCTGAACAAAAATTCCTAAGTACCCCGGCCTCGAGAAGGTCATTATCAGCCGGTCTAATGTTGAGAATTTTATTGACGGCTAGGAGAGGGACCATATTTTTAAAATGCTTTCACTTGAAATCTATAGATTTGCTAGCACAGTGTAGAGATGGAATTTAATATACACCCATTTTATATATAATTAAATATAACACACATTTATTAATGTGAATATATACTTTTTTCACAAACGGAGTGAAACAATTTTTTTATTTAAACATTTTCATCCTTTAAGCACACACACTCTCACTGACCCATACACACACTCATCGGCACACATACACTGTTTAACCAACACTTTCACTGACAGACACACGCTCCCACTGATACACATATACTGACATGATTTCACAGAGAAACATACAGCGATTGGCACACGCACTGTTTAACGAACACACACTTTCACTGAAAGACAGACAGGACCACTCACTGTCTTAGATACACATACAATGACATACACTTACTGACTGACACACACTCTCATAAACGTTCACTCACAAATTATTTTTTTTATTTTTTTTATGTCCACGCTGCATCCCAACCTTTGGGAGAGCTGAGGTGGATATTCGATCCCTGGGGTCCAGTGTGGACCCTTTCCTTGGGGTCCAGTGTGGATCCTTTCCTTGGGGTTCAGAGTGGATCCTTTCGTTGGGGTCCAGTGTGGATCCTTTCCTTGGGATTCAGTGACGTTCCTTTCCTTGGGGTCCAGTGTGGATCTTTTCCTTGGGATTCAGTGTCAATCCTTTCCTTGGTGTCCAGTGTGGATCCGTTCCTTGGGTTCTTGTGGCGATCCTTTTCTTGGGTTCTTGGGGCGATCCTTTACTTGGGTTCCTGTGGCAATCCTTTCTTTGGGGTCCAGTGTGGATCCTTTCTCTGGGGTCCAGTGTGGATCCTTTCTCTGGGGTCCAGTGTGGATCCTTTCCCTAGGGTTCAGTGTGGATCCTTTCCCTGGGGTCCAGTGTGGATCCTTTCCTTGGGGTCCAGTGTGGATATTTTCCTTGGGATTCAGTGTCAATCCTTTCCTTGGTGTCCAGTGTGGATCCGTTCCTTGGTGTCCAGTGTGGATCCGTTCCTTGGGGTCCAGTGTGGATCCTTTTCTTGGGGTACAGTGTGGATCCTTTCCTTGGTGTCCAGTGTGGTCCTTTCCTTGGGGTCCAGTGTGGATCCTTTCTTTGTTGTCCAGTGTGGATCTTTTCCTTGGGATTCAGTGTCCATCCTTTCCTTGGGGTCTAGTGTGGATCCTTTCCTTGGGGTCCAATGTGGATTCTTTCCTTGAGGTCCAGTGGCGATCCTTTCCTTGGGGTCCAGTGTGGATCCTTTCTTTGGGGTCCAGTGGCAATCCTTTCCTTGGGTTCCAGTGGCGATCCTTTCCTTGGGTTCCAGTGGCGATCCTTTCCTTGGGTTCCTGTGGCGATCATTTTCTTGGGTTCCTGTGGCGATCCTTTCTTTGGGGACCAGTGTGGATCCTTTCCCTGGGGTCCAGTGTGGATCCTTTCCTTGGGGTCCAGTGTGGATCTTTTCCTTGAGGTCCAGTGTGGATCCTGACCTTGAGGTCCAGTGTGGATCCTTTCCTTGGGATTCAGTGTCTAGCCTTTCCTTGGGGTCCAGTGTGGATCCGTTCCTTGGGGTCCAGTGTGGATCCGTTCCTTGGGGTCCAGTGTGGATCCTTTTCTTGGGGTTCAGTGTGGATCTTTTTCTTGGGGTTCAGTGTGGATCCTTTCCTTGGGGTCCAGTGTGGATACTTTGCTTGGGGTCCAGTGTGTGGCTGCTCTGATCTTCCAGCTCTGCTCCCTGCACGTCCAGTGTGGATCCTTTTCTTGGGGTCCAGTGTGGATCTTTTCCTTGGAATTCAGTGTGGATCCTTTCTTTGGCATTCAGTGTGGATTCTTTCCTTGGTGTCCAGTGTGGATCCTTTCCTTGGGGTCCAGTGTGGATCCTCTCCTTCTGGTCCAGTGTGGATTCTTTCCTTGGGGTCCAGTGTGGAAACTTTTCTTGGTGTCCAGTGTGGATTCTTTCCTTGGGGTCCAGTGGGAATCCTTTCCTTGGGGTCCAGTGTGGATCCTTTTCTTGGGATTCAGTGTGGATCCTTTCCTTGGGGGTTCAGTGTGGATTCTTTCCTTGGGGGTTCAGTGTGGATCCTCTCCATGGGGTCCAGTGTGGAAACTTTCTTTGGTGTCCAGTGTGGATCCTTTCCTTGGGGTCCAGTGTGGATCCTCTCCTTGGGGTCCAGTGTGGAAACTTTGCTTGTGGTCCAGTGTGGATCCTTTCCTTGGGGTCCAGTGTGGATCCTTTCCTTGGGGGTTCAGTGTGGATTCTTTCCTTGGGGGTTCAGTGTGGATCCTTTCCTTGGGGTCCAGTGTGGATCCTCTCCTTGGGGTCCAGTGTGGAAATTTTCCTTGGTGTCCAGTGTGGATCCTTTCCTTGGGGTCCAGTGTGGATCCTCTCCTTGGGGTCCAGTGTGGAAACTTTGCTTGTGGTCCAGTGTGGATGCTTTCCTTGGGGTCCAGTGTGGATCCTTTTCTTGGGGTTCAGTGTGGATTCTTTCCTTGGTGTCCAGTGTGGTCACACTGCAGGTCACACAAGGGAGCAGAGCTGGAAGATCACCACTCGTGCTCAGCCTCTCCCGAACACTATCTTTGGGCAGAGTAGGCACCTGCCATCCTTGAAAGCAGGTGCCTACTCTGTCTTACCGCACAGCCGCTGTCTCAAGGAGCCCCTAAGGTGGCCAGTCATCCAGCTCTTGGGCCCCCTGACAGGCGGAACACAGAGAGCCCAGACACACTTGCAACCCTTGTAGTTCAGCCACTGGCTCTTGGCGTTCCCCAGGGCCTTTGGTGCACATACTCCATGGGTTACACATACCACAGGTTGAGAAAGCAGGGTGCACAGGAATAGTGTAAGTCACAATCATTCAATATGTAGGTTTTTTTAAGTGGGGGGAGGGGGTGGTGCAGTAGTTATTGGAAATTGAAAACATCTGCTGTTTTGTTATTTCTGTGTCATTTCCAGGTTTTCCTGATGAAATATGGGAAGGAATCTTAGGAAATGTAACTAAAGTGTATTTATTTGTTCTCGTAGTTATACATTTTTTTCCTGGAGTGATGTAGTCTAGTGCTGTTTCCTGTGAGGACTACATCCCATATTTTATGTTGCATTATTAGCGGCTGAATTAATACCGTCATTAGAGTAAACAGAGGAGTGAAATCTGGTGCAACACTGCAGCTGTTGCCATAGAAACAAACGGAATGTTCCTGCTGAATTCGCTTTTCAAATTCCTCTCTAGAATTGCAGTTTAGTCGCGGTCAGTGTGTGCGTTTCAGCCCTATCAGAGTAAATAAGGGTTTATAACGGCACAAATTGACATTTCTCTTATCATATGTTCACCAGTGCCAGAAACACATGCAATTATCAGTTACCCACCCGAGGACAGGTCAATAAATGTAGTAAAAGTAATAAAAATAAAAGTAGTTATTAGTTAATCATTAAAAAGCACTCATTGTACGTTAATTCACCTTAGCTACAAAGCATTGTCCTATGGCTTTCCAATGTTTATGTATTATACAACCTTAGCCCCTTACTTACACTTATCCTCTGAACACTATCAGAGTAATTCATTAACCTCTGGATTTTATTTCAAGATTAATTCCAAATAGAAAAACTGATCTGGAGAAATTCTCCAACTCAGCCGTAGTTACAGCTCGGTTATTTTAGCCTCAGTTTTGCCAATGCTGAATTAATTGAGAACAATTCTGAGTTTAGTGTATTGCGCTGCAGGCGTTCTGTAAATGTCTATTTATCAGGACGCGTTTGGCCGTGGTCACACTTCAATACCAAGCCATCTGTGAAAGAAAATCACTCGAATCCGAGTATTTTGGGAGTCCTGGAAAAGAATGTTTAAATGCATTTTTCATTTCCATATACATATTATTGGGAAAGAATAAGAATGATAAAAAGAAAATCCATGGAACAATACTGCAGCCATGTTGGCTTCCTTTGAATGCTCACACATGCATTATGGGGTTTCTGTGTGTGTGAGAGTAACTAAGTGTGGGGGGATGACTGTGTGTGTAGAGTGTGACTATGTGTGCATGAGGTTGATTGTGTGCATGAGGGTAACTGTCTGTGGATGGTGAATGTGTGTGTATGAGAGTGACTGTGTGTGAGAGGAAACCTGTTTGTGGGGCCGTGACTAATGTGTGTGTGTGGGGGGGGGAGGGGGGGAGGGAGTAACTGTTGGGGGATGACTGTGTATATGTGAGGATCACTGTGTGATTGGCTGTCTGGGTGTGTGTATGTGTGACAATCTCTGAGAGGTGGCTATGTTGTGTTTAAAAAGATAGAATGTGACGGCAGATAAGAACAATTCGGGCCCATCTAGTCTGCCCAATTTTCTAAATACTTTCATTAGTCCTTGGCCTTATATTCTAGTTGGGATAGCCGTATGCCTATCCCACGCATGCTTAAACTCCTTCACTGTGTTAACCTCTACCACTTCAGCTGGAAGGCTATGCCATGCATCCACTACCCTCTCAGTAAAGTAATACTTTAGTAATACTGCTCTCACAGTATTGAATAGCTAAAACCGCTCTCACAATATGGAATAGTTAATGAGAGAAATAAGCTGTGGTTAAATAATTCAGGAGGCTTACAAGGCCACATGTTAAAAACGTTATTCTCACTTGCTAATCTTGGTTAGTGAAACAGTCAAACAGGCTGACAGCAGAATTTGTTTTAAAACTCGCTTAGGGAGTTATTTACTAAACAGTGAGCTGTACCGAAATGAAAACGCATTGCAAAACTGAAGCTAACATTCGTTGTAACTGACCTTTCACCTATAATATTATCCACATGAATCCACAGAACCCGTAAACTCTTCATAGATTACATCATTGCTTTAAATAATTCAGTGATTTCTAAAATACTTTAATAATTAATGTCAACCTCTCACAAATACAGTAATTTATACAAGATGTGAACTAATTGATTCATTTATTATCTAATCTGGAGAGACATGTGTTGGTTTTAGATTCTCTTCAACTACTCTTCTTTTATTAGTCCCTGCTATATTACAGTTATTGCAGGAGTTGTGGGTACATGGAAGTGGCCCAGAACAGATGTGGTAAGAGACCAAAGGTTCCTGTGAGATGTCAGCCTCTATTCTGAATTTTGTATATTTACCTTTTGTGTCACTATACACCACTCCCTCTACCATTTAAGCACACTGAGCAGGGCCCTCAATCCCTCTGTTACTGTGTCACTATACCCCACTCCCTCTAACATGTAAGCTCACTGAGCAGGGCCCTCAATCCCTCTGTTACTGTGTCACTATACCCCACTCCCTCTAACATGTAAACTCACTGAGCAGGCCCTCAATCCCTCTGTTACTGTGTCACTATACCCCACTCCCTCTAACATGTAAACTCACTGAGCAGGGCCCTCAATCCCTCTGTTACTGTGTCACTATACCCCACTCCCTCTAACATGTAAACTCACTGAGCAGGCCCTCAATCCCTCTGTTACTGTGTCACTATACCCCACTCCCTCTAACATGTAACCTCACTGAGCAGGCCCTCAATCCCTCTGTTACTGTGTCACTATACCCCACTCCCTCTAACATGTAAACTCACTGAGCAGGGACCTCAATCCCTCTGTTACTGTGTCACTATACCCCACTCCCTCTAACATGTAAACTCACTGAGCAGGCCCTCAATCCCTCTGTTACTGTGTCACTATACCCCACTCCCTCTAACATGTAAACTCACTGAGCAGGGCCCTCAATCCCTCTGTTACTGTGTCACTATACCCCACTCCCTCTAACATGTAAACTCACTGAGCAAGCCCTCAATCCCTCTGTTACTGTCACTATACCCCACTCCCTCTAACATGTAAACTCACTGAGCAGGGCCATCAATCCCTCTGTTACTGTGTCACTATACCCCACTCCCTCTAACATGTAAACTCACTGAGCAGGGCCCTCAATCCCTCTGTTACTGTCACTATACCCCACTCCCTCTAGCATGTAAACTCACTGAGCAGGCCTCAATCCCTCTGTTACTGTGTCACTATACCCCACTCCCTCTAACATGTAAGCTCACTGAGCAGGCCCTCAATCCCTCTGTTACTGTGTCACTATACCCCACTCCCTCTAACATGTAAACTCACTGAGCAGGCCCTCAATCCCTCTGTTACTGTGTCACTGTACCCCACTCCCTCTAACATGTAAACTCACTGAGCAGGCCCTCAATCCCTCTGTTACTGTCACTATATCCCACTCCCTCTAACATGTAAACTCACTGAGCAGGGCCCTCAATCCCTCTGTTACTGTGTCACTATACCCCACTCCCTCTAACATGTAAGCTCACTGAGCAGGCCCTCAATCCTACTGTTACTGTGTCACTATACCCCACTCCCTCTAACATGTAAACTCACTGAGCAGGCCCTCAATCCCTCTGTTACTGTGTCACTATACCCCACTCCCTCTAGCATGTAAACTCACTGAGCAAGCCCTCAATCCCTCTGTTACTGTGTCACTATACCCCACTCCCTCTAACATGTAAACTCACTGAGCAGGGCCTTAATCCCTCTGTTACTGTGTCACTATACCCCACTCCCTCTAACATGTAAACTCACTGAGCAGGACCCTCAATCCCTCTGTTACTATGTCACTATACCCCACTCCCTCTAACATGTAAACTCACTGAGCAGGACCCTCAATCCCTCTGTTACTGTGTCACTATACCCCACTCCCTCTAACATGTAAACTCACTGAGCAGGGCACTTAATCCCTCTGTTACTGTGTCACTATACCCCACTCCCTCTAACATGTAAGCTCACTGAGCAAGCCCTCAATCCCTCTGTTACTGTGTCACTATACCCCACTCCCTCTAGCATGTAAACTCACTGAGCAGGGCCCTCAATCCCTCTGTTACTGTGTCACTATACCCCATGTAGCGGAACGCCAATATTAAATCCACGAATTCCGCTGGTCCAGAAACGAATCCACAGTCAAGCGTTGAAAACACCAAGGCAATATCCCCAACCTCCCAATAACCGGACGAGACACAGTTTTGGGAGTCAACTGACAATCCTTTAATCGGCACGACAATTTATACAAGTCCCCATGCAAGGGGTTTCCTGAGTCCTTTCCCAGGGGCACTCCCAGAGGGGACTACATGGGGGACTTACAGTATAACATATTTCTCCCATCAGGCACTGCTGCACGAGAGGGATCATCCTCCCAGAATGCACCGTTAAGGGGATTATCCCCTCGTGCAGCAGAACCGGCAATTCATACAAAAATACATAACTTTTAAAATACACGGTGGATTTATACGAATGGACGTTCGGTAGATAGCTGGGGTCTGGGCGCATCATTCGTGAGATTGCCGCTCAGATCCCAGCTAAAATAACCGAACGCCGCACAGAAAACACATTTCTTTCAAAACACATGAAAAGAACCGATTGCTTTTAGTGAACCTGGTCCTGAAACTCCCGAACGTCCTGGAGGCTCAGCGGTGTTCGGGCCGTCGAATAACTATTGGTAATGCTATGCGTTTGACGACACGGACCCGCTGAAGAACAAGGGATCCAAGATGGCCGACCGCCGCATGGTCGGTAGTCGAACGACGGCCACCCAGGAGAGCCTCTAATAACCGATTGCAACAATGTTGCAATCGGTTAACTAGCGCCACACGCCTCTAAGTGTGTGGGCTATTAGGGGGTATCGCGTTCGGTTCACGAACGGCTTTCTAAAGTGCCGCTCGTGAAACGAAAGAGAATCCCCATACAAAACCGCCATTTGCATTCGGCGGAAACAGCATTACAGGCAATACGGAAAATACATTAACATCTACATAAGTGTAAAGCGCATATCCCGCCCGACCTATTGGCACTCCTTAAAGGCACAGTCTCTAGTTATTGTCCAAGTGGCTAGGTTTGCCACACCCCACTCCCTCTAACATGTAAACTCACCGAGCAGGGCCCTCAATCCCTTTGTTACTGTGTCACTATACCCCACTCCCTCTAACATGTAAACTCACTGAGCATGGCCCTCAATCCCTCTGTTACTGTGTCACTATACCCCACTCCCTCAAGCATGTAAGCTCACTGAGTAGGGCCCTCAATCCCTCTGTTACTGTCACTATACCCCACTCCCTCTAACATGTAAACTCACTGAGCAGGGCCCACAATCCCTCTGTTACTGTGTCACTATACCCCACTCCCTCTAACATGTAAACTCACTGAGCAAGGCCCTCAATCCCTCTGTTACTGTCACTATACCCCACTCCCTCTAACATATAAACTCACTGAGCAGGGCCCTCAATCCCTCTGTTACTGTCACTATACCCCACTCCCTCTAACATGTAAGCTCACTGAGCAGGCCCTCAATCCCTCTGTTACTGTGTCACTGTACCCCACTGCCTCTAACATGTAAACTCACTGAGCAGGCCCTCAATCCCTCTGTTACTGTCACTATATCCCACTCCCTCTAACATGTAAACTCACTGAGCAGGCCCTCAATCCCTCTGTTACTGTCACTATACCCCACTCCCTCTAGCATGTAAGCTCATTGAGCAGGGCCCTCAATCCTTCTGTTACTGTGTCACTATACCCCACTCCCTCTAACATGTAAACTCACTGAGCAGGCCCTCAATCCCTCTGTTACTGTGTCACTATACCCCACTCCCTCTAACATGTAAACTCACTGAGCAGGGCCCTCAATCCCTCTGTTACTGTGTCACTATACCCCACTCCCTCTAACATGTAAACTCACTGAGCAGGCCCTCAATCCCTCTGTTACTGTGTCAATATACCCCACTCCCTCTAGCATGTAAACTCACTGAGCAGGCCCTCAATCCCTCTGTTACTGTGTCACTATACCCCACTCCCTCTAACATGTAAATTCACTGAGCAGGCCCTCAATCTCTCTGTTACTGTCACTATACCCCACTCCCCCTAACATGTAAACTCACTGAGCAGGCCCTCAATCCCTCTGTTACTGTGTCACTATACCCCACTACCTCTAACATGTAAACTCACTGAGCAGGGCCCTCAATCCCTCTGTTACTGTGTCACTATACCCCACTCCCTCTAACATGTAAACTCACTGAGCATGCCCTCAATCCCTCTGTTACTGTGTCACTATACCTCACTCCCTCTAACATGTAAACTCACTGAGCAGGCCCTCAATCCCTCTGTTACTGTGTCACTATACCCACTCCCTCTAACATGTAAACTCACTGAGCAGGGCCCTCAATCCCTCTGTTACTGTGTCACTATACCCCACTCCCTCTAACATGTAAGCTCACTGAGCAGGGCCCTCAATCCCTCTGTTACTGTGTCACTATACCCCACTCCCTCTAACATGTAAACTCACTGAGCAGGCCCTCAATCCTCTGTTACTGTGTCACTATACCCCACTCCCTCTAACATGTAAACTCACTGAGCAGGCCGTCAATCCCTCTGTTACTGTCACTATACCCCACTCCCTCTAACATGTAACCTCACTGAGCAGGCCCTCAATCCCTCTGTTACTGTGTCACTATACCCCACTCCCTCTAACATGTAAACTCACTGAGCAGGCCTCAATCCCTCTGTTACTGTGTCACTATACCCCACTCCCTCTAACATGTAAACTCACTGAGCAGGCCCTCAATCCCTCTGTTACTGTGTCACTATACCCCACTCCCTCTAGCATGTAAACTCACTGAGCAGGACCTCAACCCCTCTGTTACTGTGTCACTATATCCCACTCCCTCTAACATGTAAACTCACTGAGCAGGGCCCTCAATCCCTCTGTTACTGTCACTATACCCCACTCCCTCTAACATGTAAACTCACTGAGCAGGGCCCTCAATCCCTCTGTTACTGTGTCACTATACCCCACTCCCTCTAACATGTAAACTCACTGAGTAGGCCCTCAATCCCTCTGTTACTGTGTCACTATACCCCACTCCCTCTAACATGTAAACTCACTGAGCAAGCCCTCAATCCCTCTGTTACTGTGTCACTATACCCCACTCCCTCTAACATGTAAACTCACTGAGCAGGGCCCTCAATCCCTCTGTTACTGTGTCATTATACCCTACTCCCTCTAACATGTAAACTCACTGAGCAGGACCTCAATCCCTCTGTTACTGTCACTATACCCCACTCACTCTAGCATGTGAACTCACTGATAAGGCCCTCAATCCCTCTGTTACTGTGTCACTATACCCCACTCCCTCTAACATGTAAACTCACTGAGCAGGCCCTCAATCCCTCTGTTACTGTGTCACTATACCCCACTCCCTCTAACATGTAAACTCACTGAGCAGACCCTCAATCCCTCTGTTACTGTGTCACTATACCCCACTCCCTCTAACATGTAAACTCACTGAGCAGGGCCTCAATCCCTCTGTTACTGTGTCACTATACCCCACTCCCTCTAACATGTAAACTACCTGAGCAGGGCCCTCAATCCCTCTGTTACTGTGTCACTATAACCCCACTCCCTCTAACATGTAAACTCACTGAGCAGGCCCTCAATCCCTCTGTTACTGTGTCACTATACCCCACTCCCTCTAACATGTAAACTCACTGAGCAGGGCCCTCAATCCCTCTGTTACTGTGTCACTATACCCCACTCCCTCTAACATGTAAACTCACTGAGCAGGCCCTCAATCCCTCTGTTACTGTGTCACTATACCCACTCCCTCTAACATGTAAACTCACTGAGCAGGCCCTCAATCCCTCTGTTACTGTGTCACTATACCCCACTCCCTCTATCATGTAAACTCACTGAGCAGGCCCTCAATCCCACTGTTACTGTCACTATACCCCACTCCCTCTAACATGTAAACTCACTGAGCAGGCCCTCAATCCCTCTGTTACTGTGTCACTGATACCGGAGAAACTGACGGAAGCAAAGCACAGAGGGATGGACACAGGTTTCTTCAGGAAGGAAGAGATTCTTTATTGGATCACCGATTGGGACTCAGAGGGACTAATGTCACCAAAAATACAGCAAGTTCTGAGCCCTGAACAATAGTGCAGGCTCCCTATATAGGCACATAACTCCTCCCATATTAAGCTCCACCCGCACATTCTCTTGACCAATCATTACAAATAAGAATTAACTTCCTGCTTGACCGCATGGCTTGTCCAGCACAATGGAGGAGGGGAATACTACATCCTGTATTCTTGCACATGCTCCGTACACTACTGATCGTATCTTGCCTCGTGCAACCAACTGATCGATACGTCAGCATATGCACGTACACATGCCACGTGGTAATCTCGGCCTACTAAATTTATTTTTACCGAGATTCCACCACATTCCCCCCTTTGATGCCTCTTGATATTTTACAATTACTTGAGGCATCACTTAACCTTGGTTTGCATACACCACAAGTTACCTTTGAACCAGACCAGACTTATCCTATGATGTGAATCTTCAACACTCGTCTTCCTGCATTGGTTCTCCCTGATCTAGAGCCTTATATTTATAAATTGCCATTATCTGTGCAGCAGCCTTCCTCTCTGCTATATTTTCTATCAGGCTTTGCACAGACCTAACTACTAAGGGTATAAGACACGGCAGGAGTAGACACAACATTAAAATCAGTAGGACTCCACCTACCACTGCCTTAAGCCCTCCAAACCACTCATACCAGCTACCAAACCAACTACTTGGATTGTACCCTTTCCATACCTGAGTAGGCACATGCGCTAGTTTAACCATATGGCTAGTAAGCTCAGCTATTGCTTGCCCTTCGTCATCTATTTGAAGACAGCAATTGCTCAGGTTAAACTTCCCACATACACCTCCCTCTACTGCCAAAAGATAATCCAAGGCTAATCTATTTTGGTAAACTGCTGTCCTCATCCTGGTATTATGCTTCGCTAGAAGATTGAGCGCTTGTGATGTCTCGTTAGTAATGATCTCAACCACCGCCTGTAACCTTATAATGCGGTTGAGCATATAAATAGGGGTTCTATAACCAAAGGTACCATCCTCTGCCCACGTGGCTGGCCCATAATAATCTATAATACGCTGGGGAGGCCATTCATTATCTTCCCAGGCACCTATCTCTATGGGTCCCCTTTTCTTCCTATGATTCACATCATACACTTTAACACCTAAAGTCTCACCTGTTTCAATAGGCAACAAGAAGAAGGATGGTTTTAACATACCCAACACACATGCCCCTTCCCAGTCCTGTGGTAACTCCGAATAGGCCTTCTTACCACAGATCCAGTACAAATTCGCTGGGGCTCTCCAGTTAGATGTGATGGATAGATCAAACCATACGTCCTTTAAATTGGCATATCTTGCAAACGGGTTAGATGGTTCTGAGACATTTGAAGCCGACCACCAAGTTGTATTCTTTGTATCATCATCATAAGCTTTTTGCCCTAGACAAGTTAATTCTCCTACAGAAGTATTATACATCATTCCTTTCCTCGCTATGCAAACATAACCTATGATGGAGGTCTTCAATCTCCACTCAGATTTACCTCTAACACTCATATGATAGTCGGCTTGTGTAGATATTAATTGGTCAACTGCCTCAGAACCGGACATTACCTCCTTTGCTTCCCAAGGCCATTGGTCTCCCATGTTAGTACCTCCACACACATAGCAGTTGGTAACATTAAGACTACCGGCAATACTCTCGGCTAAATCAATGAACAAGTTTTTAGCATTATGGGGGATCTTATTATCTATGCTCATCTCTTCATAAAAGGAATGGTATACTTGATGAGTTTGGGAGGTTACCGTATCAGTCTCTATCCCTATAAACAATATTGTCCCAGGGTCTAAACCCGTCCCATATATTTGAAACCCAAATAAATTACCATATTTATCTAAGAACTTGTCAGGGTTATTTATAAGTATATGGATTGGATTGCATTCCATAGACTTACAATATGGATTAGTAGGCAACTTAGTCACAATCATGTCCTTGTCTGCTGTCTGTCCCCAAGTCGCCCACCCCACACAAGACCAATATGGGCAGAAGTTATAATCTCTATTTGGGCATCTTGGACTTACATATTTATTTTTACTACTGGGACAAATATATTTATCGTTAGACCCATACGTCCTCTCCCATCTAAGATCCCCACATACATTCCACGGCTTTCTACCACTTGATATTGCTTTACACGCATCAAATAGCAGAGCACCTGAAGAATATACGGATTTTAATACCGTCTTATTAATTAGGGTCCCCTGAGGATCTCCATTTCTGAGAGTCAACCAAATTGTACGGGGTTGATACTCAGGACTGAAGCACTTAGGTTCTCCTACTCCTAAATGACACACACTATATTCTATATTTAAGTATCTACATCTTGATACATCTCCTTTACACTCATATTGCGAATGCCAAATTAGGGTCTGGGATATATGGTTACCTGTTCTTGTAGTCTTAATGCATACCTCACAGCTAGGAGTGTTGGTACCTCTACCTTCCTGAATATAAAAATACACATAAATAAACATTATTAAAAATACATCTTTCGTCGTCATCCTCAGTCTTCGTCCGTGTGAAGGCACCTCAGCTTCCAGGATGTAAGGACTGCAGGGAATGGAGTTCTGCTCGTCTTCACAGGGGTCCCCTCAAGACTTTCCCTGACTTATACACTCGTTGGTGAGTGGACAGGCTTTATTATGGCCTTCTCACTCACTTACCAAGTCTCTGAAACAATAAAATTTGTAATCTACAAGGTTCCTCGTCACTCCGACTGAGTCGTGCGTTTTAACCGGATCTTGCAGGGATTCTCTGGATTTGCTGTAACTTGCCAGGAATCGGCTGCTGCTGGTTTAACCCTGGAGTGATGTATCCACGGAGCCACTTCGGCTACTTTTATCGCTGTAGGGGTAGACAGAAGAACAACATAAGGACCTCTCCACTTGGGCCCTAACGGCACATTATTCCACTCTTTAATCCACACTTGGTCGCCTGGGTGGTAACTATGAATTGGGGGATAAATATTCACAGGTAATCTATCTTGTACCCATTTCTGTACCTCCTCCATAGTCTTACCCAACTCTACAACCTGCTGCCGGGTAATTCCTTCTCCCAACTGACTCAAATCCCCCCTTAAGTTACCAAGCACGGGAGGTGGTCGCCCGTACATGATTTCAAAAGGAGAGAGGCCCATCCTTCTGGTAGGTGTACTACGGATTCGCAATAGAGCTATGGGCAAGAGAACGTTCCACTTAAGTTGGGTTTCCTGACACATTTTAGCCAACTGATTCTTAATAGTTCTATTCATTCTCTCTACCTTACCAGAACTCTGGGGTCTATATGCCGTATGAAGCCTCCACTTTATACCAAGCATATGAGTCAATTGTTGTAGGCACTGATGAACAAAAGCTGGACCATTGTCCGATCCTATAGAGCAGGGTAGTCCATATCGGGGTATTATTTCTCGTAGCAGGAATCTCACGACTTCTCCTGCTTTCTCTGTACGAGTAGGACATGCTTCTACCCAGCCTGAATAGGTGCACACCACTACCAGCAGGTAGCGATGTCCACCCGATTTAGGCATCACTGTATAGTCAATTTGTAAATCGGACATGGGAAGTCCCCCCATAAACTGGACTCCTGGTGGCTTTACTGGTCCTTGTCTTGCATTATTTTTAGCACACGTTACACATCTACGTACAATGGCCTGAGTCAAGTTGGACAATCTTGGTATGTAGAAATGTTTTCTGAGAGATTCTTCTGTACTGTCTCTCCCAGAATGTGTCCCGTTATGATAGTTTTGGACAATTTCTACCGCTAGTGATGCTGGAATAACTATTCTTCCATCTTCTAACTGATACCATTTGTTCTCCAAATACTTTCCAGGTTCAGTCCTTAACCACTCCTCTTCTTGAGCTGTATAAATTGGAGTCCATTGAGACAGTGGAGTTGGTATAAGAGCAGCTATATGCCCCACATAT